CTTTTCTCCAGTGTCTCTGATGCCAGAACAAGGCCCCAGAATGAACGGTTTCTCTCTGGGCGAGCTCTGCTGGCTGTTCTGCTGCCCGCCTTGCCCCAGCCGCATCGCTGCCAAGCTGGCCTTCCTGCCCCCGGAGCCCACCTACACCGTGCTGCAGCCTGAGCAGCAGCAGGAGGCTGGGGCAGCAGCCGGGGCAGGGACCCCGACGGGATCAGGCACCTGCAGTCTGCACTTGAGCGAGCGGGCGGACTGGCAGTATTCGCAGCGGGAACTGGATGCCGTGGAAGTGTTCTTCTCCCGCACGGCTCGAGATAACAGGCTGGGCTGCATGTTCGTACGTTGTGCCCCCACTGGCCGGTACACGCTGCTCTTCTCACATGGTAATGCTGTGGACCTGGGCCAGATGTGCAGCTTCTATATTGGCCTTGGCTCCCGCATCAATTGCAACGTCTTCTCTTATGACTACTCTGGCTACGGGGTGAGCACCGGCAAGCCCTCTGAGAAAAACCTGTACGCAGACATTGATGCAGCCTGGCAGGCCCTCAGGACAAGGTAAATGGATATTGGGGACAAGGTGTTTCTGTATCTCCATTTAAACCTAGTAAGTCCCGTGTCTGCACAGTTAACCTGCTGAGAGGTGGAGGGGAAGAGTTTGTAAATGATGTGAGTTGTTTCAATGGCCTCACCACATGTTCCATCAACAGCTACAATGCGATTTGGTGGATGGCTTCATTTGTTAAAAGGATGCACAAGCCTTCATCCTTGGGCTTTTTGTAGATTTAGGGGTTCGGTCAACTGTACCATTACAAATCTCCATCTTGAGCAGGACATATTGCACTGGTTGCAGTTTGAGCTTGCAGGATGGAAAAAAAAACCAAAACCCTTTTGTTCGAGACTTGCCTACCACTGTCTACGCTTAGAGGTAACCCAGTTGAGCCAAAACTTTGAATTTGGCGGTAGCCTAAGGCTAGTGCTTACCAAGAAACTGCTGGTGTTCTGTGATGCGTCTGGGGTTTCATGCAAGCTTGTGCGACATAGACGTCTTTCTCTTTTAGCAACCAAACAACTGTTATCCAATTGCATAGGGTAGCAGGGTGGAAGGAAGAAATGTTGACAGGTGGAAGTAGAGCTGGGGATTCTGCCAGGAGGACATGCCGAAGTAGGTGGTATCCAGAGGGATGGAGCAGCAACGAGAAGACTGGCAAGGCAGCATGGCCAGTAGGAACAGGGAGCCCTTGACTTCTAGGAAATCCTGAGCAGAGCTGCAGCCTCTGGCTCCTTGCTACAACTCATTGCCATCCCTGGGCCTCTGTTGCTTCTTCTGTCCACAGAAACAATGAGCTCCTCTTGCTGTTGCGTAAGTGGTTCTTATACTAGGACCTCACAGAACATATCCTGGAAGGGAGAGCTTTAAAAAGCTTAAGTTTTTGCAGTAGGGCAAGAGAAAAGAACGATGAGTGTTTTCTGTTCTTGGTTCTGGGGTTGTGTAGATGAACTTGGCTTAGGTGAAATGAGTATTTAATGTCTTAGGGATACGTGCCAGCTTCAAAAATAGTAGCAGGAGTTGCTACTAATTTAGATAATTGGCTTTTCAAGGCTCCGGGGATTGGTCAGTCAACGGCTTTTGACATTGGTCTGCCCAAGTCAGGTTAACAGCACGGGGGAGAAAGGTGTAGGGGGAAGTTACCCTTTTGTAGCATGTGTTCTGTCTGTTTGGTGAGTAAACCTGATTCTGGGTTCGTTTTCCAGAACCCTCAAAAAAAAAAAAAAATTTGTTTGAATAAATCATATGGTTTTATGTAAATAAATAATTTTGATATCCTGTATTTAGAATAAATTATTAAATGCCACTAATATGCATATGGATGATGTAAATAAGGTTTAAGGGAGGAAAGGTGCTATGTCTAAGCCACACCTAGTTAATGTTTGTCCTTCAGTTGCTGTGTTTTCTCTCTGTTTCACTTAATGTTTAGTTGGTGGTATTTTTTCATGAAAGCCTTCTAGAGCTCTGAAAAAGTGCTTTCACATCTGCCTGGAAGTGCTCCTGTCTTGACAGGCGTTTAGTACGTGTTTAAGATCTATGTAGATCCAGAAACAAGAGGTTCCTTCACTTAAGTCTTTTGAGAAGCCTGACCCAGTAGGTTATGCCAACATGTGCCCAGCTTGCTCTGAGAGGATTGCGCTCCATCTATTAAAGTGTGACTGGAGGAAGTTTATAGTTTTGTATTGGAGTCCTTTCTTTAGTTTATACAAGATCTAGGATCTGCTTTCCTCCTTAAATTGAGGGGTTGAAATTTGCCAACTCTTAATGTTGCCATGTTTGTAAATCCCACATCTTAGTGCTACCTTGAGAGTACTGTTAGAGTAGTTGTGTTATCATTAGTTAGATTTTTTGGAGCCAAAGGAAATATTACAGTATTTTAGGTGCCCAGTAAAGAAATTGGTTACTGTAAAATGTAAGCGTACAAATAGTAAATCAATTCTGTCTATTAACAGATACCTGTCTTCATAACAGGTATGAGCCAAAACAATAGTCTTTCTGCTAAGGAATTCTCTCTGATAATTTCTTAGCCCTTTTCAGTAAGTCCAAGTGGCTCACAATTAAGTGAAATACTCTACTGTAAAAATACTAGTCTGCTTCTTGAGGTAAAATGTCGTATTATACCATTTCTGCTGCAGCAGTTCATTGGTAGCTTCCAAGAGTTTATGTATGCTTTCGTTCTTAATGCAAATTCCTAACATTTGGCCTGTAGTCATATGGTAGTGAACTGTAATGCAAAGTCAGAAGTGAAATCTTAAAATAGCAGAGGTTCACTTATACCATCGAAAGCATTTAGTCATCTGTGCAAAGTTCTGTAGGAAGCTGTTGCTCTTCTGAATCCACCAGACGTTCCACCTGGCAGCAGAAAGGAATTGTTAAAATGTTGGAAGTCTGAGATTCTTTCTTTTTTTTTTTTTTTTAATTGTGCCTGTGAAGTGCCACTGATGCTTAGCAAATATTAATTTATCAGTGTATTTTGAAAGTTGCCCGGAGTAAGGTGGGAATTAACCCTACACTTGACCAAAACAGATTGCTGCCAAATTTTAGAAATGATGGTGAGCTGACTGTGCTTGCAAACATGGCTGCAAATTTTTACTGTATTTTTTCAAGATATTGAAATGAGAATCTCAAATGAGAATCTTGCTACCACATACATGTTTAGATATTAAACCTTATATAACAAATGATTATAAAACTATCTTGTAAACAGTGGATGAAAAATAAAATCATCAAGTTTTGTTGTTTGGTTTCAATTATCAGCCTGTCTTTGGAGAATCAGGGTCAACTATTCTCTGTTCTTTTAGTCTGTGTAGAGAGTAACTTATTTTCCTTAATTCTAATTAAATTATCTCTCCTCATGAATAAAGTATACTCTTAAATGATAATTTTACTAATTATTAAGTTTGAATGCTAACTGTCTTTCAGCCCAGGTAAAGATGTTGACATATAATTTTATTCCCTTAAAATGAGTTTTTATAGATGTTCCTTCAGAGGTCTAAGAGTAACATCGGTTGCTCTAGTTCCAATATCAAGTATTAATGAGTAATTAATTTGGGCTTTTATATATATTTATTTCCACTTGATTAACAAATTTCCATCTGGTATCTAAATGTTTCTCAGAAAGAATCTTCTATTTCGTTGCTTTGGATGACATTTTTTGAGTGTTTTATCTTAGGCAGGTTGGTCTGTTTCTGTTCTGTTTGTTCCAAAACCAGAACCAGATTGAAGAGAAGCTATATCAGATTCAGTCTTCTCTCGTGGTCCGTATAGTTTTAAGTTGCTGCTTCTTATTGAGATGTGATTAACTCTTGTCCTAATATCTGATTGACTTAGTACAGCATCTGCACAGACTGACTTGATTGTCGTCCTCCTCCCCCCTTTCCTGAATTCCACATGGAAAGGTTGAACTTTCTAACACTTTTACATTAAGACAATGTACAGTACTTAAAAACAGGATACACACTTAGGGTTTGGGTACAGTGCTTAAGCACAAAACCATGACTGCTTTGTTGATTGCATGCTATTTATATTAAAATCAATTTGTATGTTCTCTAAAAATTTGGAGAAGATTCATGAAAGATTTTAAAATCCCAGTCAAATGAAAGAGGGCACTGCTTCCCCACTCTCTCTGCTTCTGTAGTAGAGTATCAAAGAGGAGAACCTATTAGTCCCATCTTTTGGATATTGAAAGGAGGTGAAGAAAATGTAGTTAATAAATAGCTTAGAAGAGCTGTTCTTGTTGCACGTAACAAAATATAGCTTGATGTTTTTTCATGGTGCACAGTGTAAACTAGTATCTTCTGTTTCTGTTTAAGCTTTTGATAAATGATAGATGTTATTGTAATGTTTAAATCCTTCATTCTCAAAACACGTACATTTGAGTTTGTCTTTAACTTCGTAGGAGAGCATTGGTTCACTTCCATTTTTCATTAAGCTTCTTAGTCAATATGGCATGATGAAAGGAATTGAATTGTGAAATGGTATAGTAAAATGTAAGGGCTTTTGATCAATGGATAGCAAATAGTTCAGACTGTTTAAATAGTTTTTTACACTTTTTCCTCAAATTTAGTATTAAAAAAAAAAAAACCCAAACCTTTTATTATATGGAAATTTTATTATTTGTGGTGCTGATTATCAGTGTCCTCTTATTGCTGTTTCCTTTGCAGGAGTTGGTGGAAAAGCGTTACAGTTTTCATTTGAGTAAAATTAGGAAACACACCTAATTGGATTGAACTAGAGTGATAACTAATCTTCTGAGGTTGTGTCAGTTTAGTTCGTCTCCATTATGATTTGCTGAAGTGGTTACAGCTTTCTAGGTGAATAATAGCTTCAGGTTTTTTTACCTTGATTTATCAAAACAGTTAATTTCTACTTTAATTTTCTTTGCAACAGAATCTTCTTTCACTAGCACTGTGTTTCTGTGCATGATCTAACCTGAGTTCTTTAGATTGAATACTTAGAGGTTTTGATAAAAAGTTACCAACTAAATTCCTGACGTGGCCAAAGGCAGTGCTTGGCAGGGTTCCCCTTGTTCATGGTGCATCACCTGGTAGATTTTTCTTTCATTGACTTTGATAGGGTATTTCCCACTTCCAGTTTTTTAATAATGTTGATAGGGTGTCTGCAAAGGATTGTTTAAAGAGACTCTCCTCTAAAACTGAACTTATTCTACCTGTTGTGGTCAGTACTTCAAGAAAAACTGCATACAACTTTGCTCAAAAATAGAAACATGCAGAATAATCTCCTGTTGTTGTCTGTGCAGTGAGCAGAGATTAACTGAGATGATGAGCGTCCCAGGGACAAATACGAACAACTGTTTAAAACAGGTGCTCTGATGTTTCAAGTTATTCAAAATGTTTATTGAGCTTTGGTGTTGTATTACATAGTTTAGTCACTGCAGTAAAAGTAGTTGTGTTAAATATTTCCCTATTTCTGTCAGGACTGCAAGATCAAAGCTGGTTTAAAAAAAATGAGATTTTTCACTGTCAGGAATGTTCTGCAACTAGTGTTG